AGAGAGAGAGAGAGAGAGAGAGAGAGAGAGAGAGAGAACTGCCTACGTGCATCCCAGGTCTTAAGGGTTCGTGAGGCCACACCCCAGGGACACGTACTTCAAGGTCATAGGCAGGTGGAGCAGTTAGTTACCTGCTGCATCTCTAGGGATGGTACTTCAAGGTCATAGAACAGTTACCCACTACACAAGAAGGCCAAAAGCGGCTATACTGCCTGATGCCCAGAGCCTTGTCCCCAGCCGGACAAGGAACTGGAGCCCTGAGAACCTCACACATGTAGAGCAGTTCCGTTGGTGTGGGTGTGTGTACTTCTGTCCTCTGTGCCAGGGTGCTTAATTCAGGACTACTGTGACGGCAGAGGACTAGGACAGATTTCTCTGGGAATCACCTGAAGGTAAGGACAGTGGGGCTCTGAACCACACTGCTCAACCAGGGTAGCCTGCCGTGTGACTTGGTGTCCACACCCGAACAGCTGCCTGACTTCCCGCTGCAGTGCTTAGCAACACTACTGCTGAAATAGATACGGAAACAAGGGAGAGCAGACAGCGAGGGAGAAGGGAGGACTTGTCACCAGGTGACACCTCACCCTGAGTGTCCGGGACCAGAGAATAGTGAGTTTACAGGCTTGAAAGGCCCACTGAACCACCAACACAGGGCTGGAAGTAGATTCCCAGCAAGGCAAAGCCATTTGCAGTTCCTGAACAAAGAGCAAGCACTTCTACTTCCAAAAAGAAGTTACTGGCCACCCACAAAGCCTAGGTGTGTGAATGGCAGCAGCCACCTTCAGCACCACAGTCTAGAAGGCAGAGGAGAGCTATAAATGGGAAGTTGCCCACACTGCTGTAGCTCAGCCACTGTGAACGAAGTGAGAGAAACAAACCGTCAGATACACTAGGTTTCAGAATCATATACTTTCCTCTGTTGCTGTTGTTTTTCCAGACAGGGTTTCTCTGTGTAGCCCTGGCTGTCCTGGATCTTGCTCTGTAGACCAGGCTGGCCTCGAACTCACAGAGATCCTCCTGCCTCTGCCTCCCAAGTGCTGGGGTTAAAGGTGTGCGCCACCACTGCCCAGATCCACCACATCTTTTTAAAAGTATTTTTAACATTGATTTTGTATATTTGAGTGTTTTGCTTGCGTGTCTGTGTGCCACATATGTACCTGGTGTCCACAGAGGCTAGAAGAGGACATTGGATCTATGAGACTGGAGTTACAGATTGCTGTGAGCTGTGGGTCTGGAAACTGAATTTGAGTCCTCTGCAAGAGCAACCCGTGCTCTAACCACTGAGCAATCTCTCTGGCCGGCCCCCCCCCCCCCCACTTGAGGAAGCCATTGGAGAACCTGCTCAATAGTGAGTGAGACGAGGAAATTAGAACTTTCAAAAGTGAGGTTCAGGCCTGCATACAGGGTAAAGGTCATGTAGTAGCTCTGGTGAAGGGTCTGGGGAATGGGGCGCTGTCACAATAAGAAGGTGCCTGCCCTTCTCTGAGAGGCAGTGCAAAGGGAGGGCACAGTGCTGAACCAGGAACAATTCCATATAAAACTGAGGTCCAGAAGATGAGGACAGCACCAAAAAACAGCATCACCTTCTGTAGCTGGAGAGTTTTCCCTCCGGCTCCCACCATCCCTGGCAGTCTGACAGCCCACTTATAAAATAAACACACAGACGCTTACATTATTTAAACTGTTTGGCCTAATGGCTCAGGCTTCTAGCTATCTAGTTCTTACATCTTAAATTAATCCATTTCTATAAATCTATACCTTGCCACGTGGCTCGTGGCTTGCCGGCATCTTCTCATGCTGCTGCTTGTCATGGCGGTGGCTGCCAGTGTCTCCCTCCGCCTTCCTGTTCTCTCAATTCTCCTCTCTGTTAGTCCCGCCTATACTTCCTGCCTGGCTACTGGCCAATCAGTGTTTTATTTATTGACCAATCAGAGCATCACATTTGACATACAGACCATCCCACAGCAACCTTCCACATTCCTCAGCTATGACTGGTGTTTATGGCATCTCCATATCAGCACCAAAGATTGCCCTAAGTCTAGTTATGGCAAGTAACTGGGAGACTCTAGGACCGGAAGGGTAAGGCATGGAGGCAGTGGAAAGGAAGTGCTCTGGCCTTCCTCATCGAAGGGACTTCGTAGAAGAGGAAACCAGAAACGGGGTAGTGGGGTGTGCTGCTTGGCTGTGAACAAGTGCAGATGCCCAGGTCAGAGGTCAGAAGTGCTGGTAAAATAAGAGGGGTGTGTATGTGTGGGGGGTCTGTGCTGTTGACACTTCATTCTGATTTCCACTGCCTGTAAACTGAGTACCGGAAGCCCACGGTGCCGGTGCAGATAGGAAGGGAGCCATTGCAGCAGGCCCTCTCTTCCTCCTGTGATGGCTTCATAGTTTTAGCTCCAGCACGGAACCACCTGCTCCCACTAAGCTATAAACACTTGTGAGGAGCTGAAGGAGTCAGCATGTTAGTGCCTGGCTGAGCCGTCTTTCTCTTCCCTTCCTAGATTATCCTCTGGACTTGAACCACAGTGAAGCCTTCCCCACAACCACGACATTTCTTCCTGAAGATTTCACCTACTTCGCCAACCACCCTTGCCCAGAGAGGCTCCCTTCCATGAGTGAGTAGATCAGCTTCCCCGTTGCTTCAGGGCAGTCTTTGGTTAACGTGGAAGGGAGAGTGTAACCAGCTGGCTTCCCGGCCTCTTTGAATAGTGCAAGGGCTCCCTGCCCTGGGAGTTGGGGCTGGAGGAATTCCTTGTGCCCCAGCTCCTCTTCAGCCAAGCCTGCTGCTGGTGACCCACATTCTCAATGGTGCTGTGTTCTGCCCTTTGTGATGACCTTCTTAAGGTGTCCTGCAAGAAGATCTGGCCATGGCTTTGTCATTTTAGTATAAATTGCCCACTGGTTCTACCTGGTTTGACATAATAGACCTCTCTACCCACCTTCCTTCTTCTGTGTCATACTTGGTTCTCATTTGTACCCCTACCTCCACCTCACACTTCTTTCCCATCCCATTCTGGCTAGTTGCTAGAGGTTATTTTCTCTTTGTTGTTGTTTTTAATTTTTGTTTTTTGAGATAGGGTCCTGGAACTCCCTTTGTAGACTAGGCTGGTTTCAAACTCACAGAGATCCACCTGCCTCTGCCTCCCGAGTGCTGGGATTAAAGGCATGCACCACCACGACCCAGCAAAAGTTATTTTCTTAACAACATGCTGGTTTAAAGAAAATTCAAGCCATGCATGGTGGTCATGCCTTTAATCCCAACACTAGTACTCTAGCTGTCCTGGAACTCGATCTGTAGACCAGGCTGCCCTGAAACTCACAGAGATAGATCCTCCTGCCTCTGCCTCCTGAGTGCTGGAATCAAAGGCATGCCCATGCCTGGCTTCCCTAGCACTTAGTGATTGTCATGGTTTCAGTTTGGGGGCTTTGTCAAAGGTGAGTGCTCTGTGTTTGGGCACCATTAGTCAGAGCCTCTACTCCCTGGTGGCTGGGGTGAGACAGGCAGCTGGCCTTGCTTCTGAATGATGCCAGGCCAAAGTGCACCACACTCCTGTCCCTCCTCCGAGGAATCCAGCTGCCCCTCAGGCTTTTTTGGAGGGCAGGCAGTTTATTGAGACGTGAAACAGGAGCCCCCTGGAGCAGGGAGAGGTCTTGAAGAAGAGCTGCCTCCCTCAGTTTCAGGGCCCTTGTTTCTCTGCCCGCTTTGGCAGGAGCCGGCCTCTAAGGTCTTGTCCTTTGGCACACTCAAGGGCAGAGGTGGGTAGCAGTAGGGCCAGGGCTCAGCCTGGGAAACTCTTCATTGTTTTTCCTCCTCTCTGTCCAGAGGGCCCAATAGACATAAACATGAGTGAAATCAGAATGGACGATATTCACGAGCTCTTCTCCAGAGACCCAGCCATCAAGCTCGGAGGCCACTGGAAGCCTTCGGACTGTGTGCCTCGATGGAAGGTGGGCTATGAGTCAGACCCCAGGTGTCAGAAACACATCTGGGATTACTGGGATTCAAGACCTGTGACATCCAGGAACTTGCACTCTGCCTCTCATTTTCGAGAAATGGGTTTCCCCAAGGACTCTCCTGTAGCCGTAGAGATTGGCAGCACCTTGTTGGTGTATGGCGACCCTTTTGTTCCTAGGCAGGATTATTTGCAAGAGAAAGGATCAGTAGATCAGCTGACATATTTGTGGACTGTGTCTCTGCAGAGCCAGTGCTTCCTGTCTGGTCTCCCAAGTTCCTGGAGGATAGATAAGTAGACTGCAGTATAATGATCCAGCTGGACCTTCAGGCCTTTGTAGGAGGACTGTAGTCAGGAGAGGAGACAGAAACTTAAGGCCGTTCTTTGACCAAGTGTTAAATAAAGTGCTTGGGTGCTGCTGGCCCTGGAGAGGTGGGCCACAACATGAGCCACAGGAGAAGCTTAGTGCACAGTAGCAGGTGTCCACAGGTGTCCAGTGTGGAACGAGCTGTGTGCAGCATGGAGGTGCTTAGCTCCCTTTGTGTTTGCACACTTCTAGAAGGACCTTGGGTATGTGTGCCTCCTAGAGCTGCAGTCTAGACAGGGTCCCGTTAGTTCCATGGTGTCATTGCTTGCACAGGTCAGCATTGAGGATGTCAGGGCCTCAGCACTCTCTAGGGTTGCTCATCCAGGGTACCCAACTGTGTAGCAACGCAGAGAATGAACTGGGCAGCGGGGCCAGCAGCTAACGGATGGCTTCCTGTCCTGTGACCACTGCAGGTGGCCATCCTCATCCCCTTCAGGAACCGCCATGAGCACCTCCCAGTCCTCCTGCGACACCTGCTCCCCATGCTTCAGCGCCAGCGCCTGCAGTTCGCCTTCTACGTGGTCGAGCAAGTGAGTGACCTTTAGTTTCCTTCTCTCCCTTCTGAGCCCACAGTCTGGAAAGCTGTAAGTGACATTGTCTTGGGTGTAAAGAGCCCAGGGTGGCACTGTCCTCATGAGCTTGGCCCTCCCACATAAATCATTAATTAAGAAAATGCTCCATAGACTTGTCTACAGGCCAGTCTTAAGGAAGCATTTTCTCAATTAAGAGCCCCTTTTCCTCCTGGCGTGGTGGCGCACACCTTTAATCCCAGCACTCGAGAGGCAGAGGCAGGTGGGTCTCAGAGTTAGAGGCCAGGCTGGTCTACAGAGTGAGTTCCAGGACAGCCCAGGCTGTTACACAGAAAAACCCTACCCTGTCTCGAAAAACAAAATCAAAAAAGTCTTTCTTCTTAGATATGTCTAGGTTTGTGTCAAATTGACAAATATCGAAACCAACCAGCACTTCCCTTGCGCCTGTCCTGAGTGTGTGTTTGGTACCGGCTGGGGTCAGTGAAGGTTCACATGTAGTTCAAGTAGGCCATAACTAGTGTGAACTGGTCTCTACCTGTCACAGAATTTGTAATCCTCAGACATTAGTCTCTAGAGAACTCAGTGACTGTTGTAGTGGGACCTTTAGAATAAACAAGCTGAGATGAGCACACTCTGACTAGATGTGTGAAATAGATGTGTGTGTAGCACAGACTTGAGACTTGGTAGAGTCCGGCCTGTTCCCTGAATGTCCTGTGGCTGTGGGCCTCTGTCCTCAGCATGTGTCGGTGAGGTGCTCTCTGAAGAAACACGACAGAATGCAGTGGACTCCCTGGGTGACTGGGCTGAGCAGTGCTGCAGACCCTGTGGGCCCAGTGTTCTGTCCCTTTGGCTCCCAGGAGCCCTTTTGGTGTACAGAGATGGCAGTAAGGTCTTTGCTTCAAGATCCTTTGTTCTTTCAGGTTGGCACCCAGCCCTTTAACCGAGCCATGCTTTTCAATGTGGGCTTTCAAGAAGCCATGAAGGACTTGGATTGGGACTGCCTGATCTTTCATGATGTGGATCATATACCCGAGAGTGACCGGAACTACTATGGCTGTGGACAGATGCCCAGGCACTTTGCGACCAAACTGGACAAATACATGTACCTGTGAGTGTCTCCTCCTCCCGGAAGGCCAGTTGCAGAAGTGAGGTGTAGCTGGCTGTGACCAGCTGTGTCAGCTGGTGGGTGGCTTGCAGCGTGTAGGACTGTGTTCAGGAGTTCAGCAGGGAGCTGGCACAGGGCCAAGTGTCACCATCTTGTTCGATGTGGAAAGTGTCCAAAGTAGGCGGGGCCCTGGGGGTGGAAAGTGGGTCAGTGGGACTGGGTGGGGGTGAGATGTTGGAGTGGTGACGGCCGGTGGTGGTGGTAGAGGAGAAACTGAGCACTGATTGTGACCATGGTTGCACAACCCAGTCAGTACACACTAAGTTAGTTCTGTGCTCTGTCACTCACTGCACAAGAGTTGTTGTGAACCAGTTAGAAGCCTGGAGGGGTGCTCAGTTCCCTTGCCTGGCTGTGAGCCTCTAGGTTCCATCCGTGCAGTGCCGGAAAACAAAGACAAATTCATCAGGAAATTCAGTTCTCCATCTTCTAACTCGGCTGCTCTCCTTCCTTCAGGCTTCCCTACGCAGAGTTTTTTGGTGGAGTAAGCGGCTTGACTGTAGAACAGTTTCGGAAAATCAATGGCTTTCCTAACGCCTTCTGGGGCTGGGGTGGAGAAGATGACGATCTGTGGAACAGGTATGCATCCCACCCTGCCCCCCCAACCCCACCACCATGTCTCAGAGACCCTGCACATGTCACCCAGTACCCTTGCAGCTGTCAGTGGGAGCCTGGTGGGGTGCTTCCCGTGCCCCGCCACCCCACTCCTCCACTCTTGTACACTTGTGCCCAGCTTTGCCCCTTGTGAGCATCCACACTGCACAGCAGCTCCACCCAGCCTTTCCGACTGAATCTGGGAGCAGCTGCCTTATTTTCTTTCATGACGGAGATGAATATTGGGAGTCATGACTATTTGGAGTTTGTTTTTAAAATTACACAGTTATAACATTAAATAACAACAGAAAAAAACCTTCTAACTAAACTGAAAAGAATTTCTACTTCCTACTAAGGCAACTATCCTCATTTTCTCCTTTGACATGAAAAATAAACTTACATGACAGCTTAAGAATTTTTTTATAAGTCACAAGTATGGGGGCTGGAGAGATGACTCAGTGGTTAGGAGCACCTATTGCTCTTCCAGAGGACCTGGGTTTGGTTCCCAGCACCCACATTGGGCAGCTCACAGCTGTCTGTAACTCTAGCTCCAGAGGATCCAGTGCCCTCTGTAGGCACCTGTACTCACGTGTACATACAAATATACATAATTAAAAATGTAAAGATTAATTTGGGGCTGGAGAGAGGGCTTGCTGTTTTAGAATACTTGGTGCTCTTGCTGAGGACCTGGGTTCAATTCCCAGCACCCACATGGCAGCTCACAACTGTCTATTGTAACTCCAATTCCAAGGGATCTGATGCCCTCTTCTGACCTCCAAGGACACCAGGCTTGCACAAGATGCTTATACATAACATAAAGTTAAAAAAAAAAAAAAAGAATTTTCAATGTAGATGTAACCAACCGTCTTACTAAATAAGAAACACAGAACCAATGTAAAAGAGAAAGCCAAGAAGTCAGAGCTCAGAGCTAAAATCTTACCCTTCCTCCTGCGAGCTCCTAGCTTCCCGAAAGAGAGCTATTTCCTGTGTGTAAGTCGTTTCATAGTCTTTTGTTCTTCCTTCTCATTGGTTGTAAACCCAAACACGTGACTGCCTCGTCACTGTCTGTATGTACAGCCCCCCAGGTCTTAAAGGCATATGTCTCCAATGCTGGCTGTATCCCTGAACACACAGAGATATCTACCTAGCTCTTCTACCAAGTGTTGAGATTAAAGGCGTGCGCCACCACCGCCACACTCTGTCTATGGCTCTAATAGCTCTGACCCCCGGGCAACTTTATTTATTAACATACAATCAAAATCACATTTCAGTACAATTAGAATACCACCACATTTCAATACTTAAATGTTAGAAAGAAAGAAAATAGTACCTGGTGTGGTGTCTCCTCAGACCTATGGTTTTAGTTTGGGAAGCTGTGGAGAAGAGAGTTCTTGGAATTCAAAGCCAGCCTAAGCTACGTACTAAAGACTCTTCTTCATAGACCAGCGGAGGGAAGAAGTATGCTCACCGTAAAATTCATATGAGAATAAAAATAAGTTGCCTCAGTCTACACAGCCCAAAACAAGATGGTTACATCTCAGTGTCTTAAAGCAGGGGAGTGAACCACGTCAGACCTGTGTGGGTTTATCAGACCATAATAAGCACTTGCCTCAGTCTCAGGGTAAGTGTCCCTGCTTGGGGCTGAGTGATGTCAGTGTTAGAAACACATGGTGTCTGTGTGGCAAACCATCTGAAACTTACCCAGCTTCCTGCTGGCATGTCTAGCCTTCAGTGTTCCCATGCACACTGGTGGTTGCTTAGTAGATTCCCACTGGTACTTAGGAGAAGGTCTTAGAAATAAATTTGATCAGAATGTGATGTGTTAGGGCTCTTGAGCCATGGTGTTTTATTGTTTGTTTGTTTGTTTTCAAGACAAGGTTCTCTGTGTAACAGTCCTGGCTGTCCTAGAACTTACTCTGTAGATCAGGCTGGCCTCGAACTCACAGAGATCCACCTGCCACTGTCTCCTGAGTGCTGGGATTAAAGGCCTGTGGCCCCCCCCCACTCCCGGCTTGAGCCCTGTTATAACATGTTCCCTGTGGCTCTCTGTGTACTGTGTCCCAATGTCAGTGGACCCTCCCCAAGCTGAGGGGTGGAGCGCCTGGTAGCCTGTTCACAGATCTGTCCCTGCAGTCGGTAGCTGCCTGCAGGTGGAGACCTGAGGTGGGTGTTGGGCTTGTTCTCAGTGGCTCTCCACTTGGTGTTTTCTGACAGGGTCTGTCACTGAAGCTGGAGCTCATCGATACAGCTAGGCTGGCTAGCACTGAACTCCAGGGTCAGCTGTCCATCCCTCTCCCCTGCCCAGTGCTGGGGTTCTAGACACACAACACTGTGCTCAGCTTTTACGTGGGTTCTCGAAAACCCCAACTCAAGTCCTCATGCTTGCAGGTTGGCACTCATCTGCTGAGCTGTCTTCCCATAGCCACCGTTTTCAATGGCAATCTCATGGTTTTGCCACAGACAGAAATGCCAGTCAGTCTGCTGGTGGGCATTCGATGGGAGTGTGCCATCCTTAGTTCACATACACAGGTTACACAGGTGTCTCTCCAGTTAATTAAATGCCTAGTGTGACTACATAGTCAAGAAACACATTGTGACGACTCCTGAGGTGTGGCTCAGGGATGCAGGACTTTGCTAGCGTGCACTGGCTGACCACACACACACACACACACACACACACACACACACACACACACACACTTGTGAAAGTGCGAAGTTTGATCCCTGAAACCATGAGTTTTTGTTGTTTTTTTTTTGTTATTGTTGTTTTTGTTTTTGTTTTCCGAGACAGGGTTTCTCTGCGTAGCTTTGCGCCTTTCCTGGAACTCACTTGGTAGCCCAGGATGGCCTCGAACTCACAGAGATCCGCCTGGCTCTGCCTCCCGAGTGCTGGGATTAAAGGCGTGCGCCACCACCGCCTGGCGAGTTTTGTTTTTTTAAAAGCTGGAACTGGTGGCTCTGTTCAAATGCTGTGACAAAACACCATGACCAAGGCAACATAGAGAAGAAAGGGTTTATTTGGGCTTCTGGATCCAGAGGGTGAGTGTCCATCATGGAAGGGGGCAGCAGGCATGATGGCTGGAGCAGGCTGCTGAGAGCACACATCTCAACCTCAAGCATGAAGCAGAGAGAGCAAACTGAAAATGGGTTAAACTCAAAGCTGGCTTCCAGTGACTGACTCTTCCAGAAAGGCCACACCTCCTAAGCCTCCCCAAACAGCACTACCAACTGGGGACCAGGTGTTCAAATACTGAAGCCTATGGGGGACATTTCTCATTCAGACCACCATACAAGCATATGCCTTTCATCCCAGCCCTGGGGAGGTAGAGGCGGGAAGATCTCTGTGAGTTCCAGGTCAGGCAGGTCTATATAGGGAGTTTTAGGCAGGTCAGAACCACACGGTGAGACCTCGTCTCAAAAAAAGTTGTTGATCTCAGTAGCACATGAAGTAGCACATGCTCCCAGCAGCGGGAAAGTGGAGCTGGCAGATGCCCTGGGCTAGCCAGCCACAGCCTAGCCTATGTGGTAGCTCCAGGCCAATGGGGGACCTTGTTTCCAAAAAGACAAGTTTCATAGTGCCTGAGGAATGACATGCAAAATTGTCATCTGACCTCTCTAAGCACATGCATGCCTGTACACACACGCACACACACACACACACACACACACACACACACACACACACACACACAGGAAATGTTAGCTAGTTAAACATCAAATCAGTTAGATGAGTGAGAAGGCGCTTGGACATTGTTGGAGAGGCTGTCTTAGGGTTTACTAGTCTCTGGGTCTTCAGCATCTCACTGATGTCCCTTTGGTTTTGGACAGGGTACAAAATGCAGGCTATTCTGTGAGCCGGCCAGAAGGGGACACGGGAAAATACAAGTCTATTCCTCACCACCATCGAGGAGAAGTCCAGTTTCTTGGAAGGTTGGTATCGTCTATCTGGCTGTATCGCCTGTCTGCCCCTGTGATGTGGCTGGGTGTGACGGGTGTCTGTTCTGATTAACCAAGGTAGACATTTTGGGTGACCATTGGTGAGATTTAGATGCCTGGGTCTTCTATGCAGCCTGAGACAGTTGGGACCACCGTCTGCCAGCCCCTGCACTATGAAGGTGTCTCCAGGGGAGTGGCAGAGCTCTAAGCTTGGCTGCTTTTTGTCCCCTCCTGTAATCTTTCGGGGCTTCTCCACTCCGACCTTGGGCCAGTCTCCTGAGCCTCCATTTCCTGTGGCCTGAGGGCGTTCGGTGAGATGCTGGGAAGCTGGCTCTGAGTCCCTCTCTGTCCTCGGCTTCCCAGGTACGCTCTGCTGAGGAAGTCAAAGGAGCGGCAAGGGCTGGACGGCCTCAACAACCTCAACTACTTTGCAAACGTCACGTACGACGCCCTGTATAAAAACATAACTGTCAACTTGACACCCGAGCTGGCTCAGGTGACTGAGTACTGAGATGTGGAGAGAAGCCGCATCCGCCTACCCACCACCCCTCAGAAGCGCTGTGGTGCGCCATCCTGGGGGTCAACACAGGACGAGGACAGAAGGAGAGTGGAGTGCAGGACCGGAGGGTTCCAGAAAACTGTCACAGAGTACACGCACAAAGGCCTTCACTGTGGGCTCAAACAGGGACAGGCGGCTTGGGGACACCTCTCATCAGCACTGGCTTCATTCTACAAGACAGACATCTGCCCTGCTGCTCTCTTCTGTCCCCACCCAGGGCCAGGCTAGGTGCCCCTCGGATAGATGGATGGCCGGGCCCAGAGGCCGCCATGGCAGCCACCCCTGGCTTGAAGCAGGAGGACCCACCTACCACACCGTTCGTTCTCTGCACCTCTGTGTCTTCTTTTCTTCCTTTCTTTCTTTTCTTCCCCCCCTCCTTTTTTTTTTTAAAGAAAATTACCTGCTTTGGTGGGGACTAAGGGTGGAGGGGGGAGGGACCTGGGATGGTAGACACATTAACAGTCACTTCTTGAAGAAGTGTAATTGTAAATAAGCCATGTAAAATGCCTTTTTAAAGTTTAATTTTATAGCTGGCTCCACTTGAAAGTGAGGGCTTCATATATTAGATGACCTTGGGGGGCAAACATAACTGAGTTACCACACAGTTGAAGAACAGCATCTCCAAATCCCTGTCATTTCAGAAGGGAGTGGACACAGGGCAGAGCAAAGAACTTGTCACTGCAGCCCCTCCCCTCCCCTCCCCTCCCCTCCCCTCTCTTCCCCTCCCTTCCCGTAGGTCTTCCTCAGAGACCTAACAGCTAAGCAGGGACTGCTCTTAGTACCACAGTGCTCTCCGCTCTTACAGGCCCCTCAGTGCCGGCGGGGGGAGGGTTGAGGGGGGCAGGGGCTGGAGAACAGGAAGTTTGAGGCCAGTGTAGGCTACATAGCAAGTTCCAGGCCAACCTGTGCTGTGTAGCAGGGTCCCCCTCCCCCAGGAGGGGTGACACTGTGTACCTCAGCTCTCTGGACTTTGTCCTTCAGCATCTCAGAGTCGCTGTTGGGTGATGGGTGGCGTTCCCCTTTCTTTGGAAATCGCCTTATTTCTCAGAGCTGTGCTTGTGTGACCAGCTGGCTTCAGTGGTTTCTCTGTTTCCCTTTTTGGTTTCTGGGAAGATGCTGTGTTGTGCTAACGAGCAGTCGATTGGGAAGGGCTCAGCCAGGGAGCAGGTGGCACTGGGGTGCTGTGTGTCAGCCAGGGTCCAGGTGAGGTCTCACCAGAGCTTTGCCGGGCAGCCAGCAGAGGGCCCCTGCTTCCTGATGGCCGTTCCTAAGCTGCACTCAGAAGGGTTCCTCCTTCCTGAGGCAGCCCTTTCCTGCCTCTGCCCCTGCGGCAGCCCTGCCCCTGCAGCAGGGCTCTGGGTGGTGAGGATGCTTTCTCGAGGCCTCCAGCTTCTGTTCTTTGCCTTTTTGCCTTCAGCCCTTGACGTTCATGGTTTACATAGGTGGGTGTGGGGTGTGTAAATATGTGGGGTTGGGGTTTTTGCACCGCACAAGTTGGTTCTGTGGACATATGATCCCCCAGACTGTGGGAGTGATTGGCCAGGCCGTGTTTTTTTTTTCCTTGTTTTTGTTCTTTTTGTAGAATAGAGTGGTATCTAGGGAACAGATGGCATTGCAGAATGCTTCCCGCTCGTATGAGAGAGCAGGTGCCTGCCCTTGAGAGCGCTGGTGAGCTGCGTCATCTGTTTGCACTGGCAAGGAGCTGCTCGGCCGCGTTGACTTGCCTTTGTCTTACGGTACACACAGCGTCCAGACTGTGTTGGCCCCATCCCGACCCTCTGCCCTTCCCTCGTCAGTTCTGCAGAGCTGGGGGTGGAACCCGTGGCCTCACATGCCAGGCAAGAGCTCTGCCACTGAGCCGTGGGCCCAGCCCTCACTCCCTCATCCCCCTGTCTGTGCACTGAGGGCCAGGAGCTGCTTGCAGTGTGGCAGAGCCATGGTCCTTTGGAGGGGCTTCCAGGGAGGGACAGAGGCGCACGCAGCATGTGTCCTGGTTGAAGCTCTGCGACCTCACACTTGCCACAGGGTACTGCTTTGGGCCAAAGGCTGATACTTGATTTAAGAAAGAAAATGCCGATTTGGGGACAAAAGAAAGGGTCTTTTTACTGCTCAAAGTGGGGTCACTTCAATTCTTTTGCAATCATGTCCAAGTTTGTTTTTAGTGTGGACTCTCAGTGGGCACTGTCGATCATTGTCCACCAAGTCACATGCTGAGTGGGAAATGTCACAGTCAAATCCATACCACCAGGCCACACGTTAGGCCACAGGATGCTTAAAGAAAATGACAGCAAGATGCGAGTGTGACCTTGGTGTATTCTGGCAGCTGAGATTATTCAATGCTACAGATGAGTGACCCTTAAACCAGCCTTGTCCTGGACTGCCTTGTGTCCGGAAGGTTCCCCTTCACACAGGGCTGCTTTTGGGGGCAGAGGGGTTTTGCAGAACTTTGGTTTTGCTAAAACAGGGACTCTGGTCAACGCTTCCCTTCCTCAGAGGACCGTGCAGAGCAGCAGGGTGTGGCCTGACTGGTGAGGCAGTGAGCGCAGCTAGCTTATTCCACCATTGCTTCTGTTTGTTTCCAGCCTGCTCTCTGTTTTAAAAGGTGCCAGGGGTACATTTTTGCACTGAAATCTAAAGATGTTTTAAAAACACTTTTCACAGAAAAAGTCCTTTGTCATTACATTATTCACTCATGTGTTTGTACATTTTTGTATGTTAATTTATGAATGATTTTTTCAGTAAAAAATACATATTCAAGAACCAAACTTTGGTGGTTGTCTCTGTCTAATTGCCTTTCAGGGAGGTCCCCCTCTTCTGTAGAACACCACACATAGGTGACAATTTGGTTCTAGAATGTTATCTATGGCCAGTCCTGGGTTGCTTTCTACCTGATTCTACTCACAGATTGTAATCACAGATTTTTATGAATTGCGAGTTTACCATTGTGTGTGTGTGTGTGTGTGTGTGTTTGTGTGTGTGGTTTGCCTTGTTTTCCAGTCTCCTGTAGCCCAGGCTGACCATAAACCTAGTATATAGTTGTACTTGAATATAGATGTACTCAAGTTGTACTTGAGTATAGATGACCTTGAGCTTCTGATAGGTGTGCACCACCAAGTGTGTGTGGTTCTAGGGGATAGAACTCAGACTTGATGCATGGTCACCCAGCTCTCCACCAGTGGAGCCCCAGCCCAGTCTTTCTTACTGTTTTATTTTATGAGTATAGATGTTTGCCTGAATGTCTGTGCCCAGTGTGTATGGTGCCTACAGAAGTCAGAAGTGGACATTGGCTCACCTGGAACTGCAAGAGTAGTGTGTGCTCTTAACCGTTGAGCCATCTGTCCAGCCCTCTACCCCCCAGTATTTCTTTTCTTTATAATAGAGGGCACAGCCGTGCACCTAGGCACTGGGAACAAGATAGATAGGTAAAATTAGCAAGCTGTCTGAGGCGCTGAGCCACGCCCAGTCCACAGTATGTGCTGGGAATAAGGGCCTGGCTGACACTTGGTCAGGGAGGAAGCCTAGTGAGGTGGAGTTGGAGAGCTGGGTGAGGTAATCTACACGTCTACACGCCCTCAGCAACAGAAAGCATCAAAGCTGGGCAGGGCCTGTGGGTCCAGGAAGGAGGATTGGCACATCCTGGGGGAATGGAGTTGGAGTATTCAGCAGGTAGGGCTGTATGTGGTAGGATTCCACAGCAGGATCTAGGATGGTAGCAGCTGAGGGGCAGAGCGAAGCAGAAACGGAGGGCTGGTGCAGGTGTGATGGAGGGAAGAGGCTGCGGTGGGACCCCAGGACTGGCCAGGGCTGGAGAATGGAGGAGCCCTTGGGAGCTGCCAGCTTCCCTCTTGCACGGCACCGTTTTCCGTATTATGTTTAAGGGGCTGGAGACCACAAAGCAAAACCAGCAAGTGGGCAGCTGTGTGCTCTGGGGAGGGCATCAGGGGAGAGACCATCCAGGCCCAGTGGGTCAGTCCCTCAGAGGAGTGAGGGTACAGGAGTGGAGAGTTGGGGCAGAGGGGCTGGAGAACCGGATTCATGGTGGGGGGTGTGTGTCACAGAGAACAAGAAGCGTGGATCTAGGTCTGGGAGGTTGTGGGGCTGTCAACGGGAAGCATGAAGAAAATCAGGCATTTCAAGAAGCATTGAACTCAGTCCAAAAGGAACAAAGGAGGAAGGATAGAAAACTGCAAATTGGTGGTGGGGAAGCCGGGTACTGTGCTCCAGAGAAGGTGGCAGGAAGACCCAGGGGTGCTGGCCCCGAGGAGCTGGCTGAGTGCAGCAGGAAAGGTCTCAACACACGCGGGAGGGAGCCATTTTACTGGCAGATGTGACATCATGGGACAGGCTCCATCCAGTGAGCAGAACTGAATTTGTCGGAACGCATTCCCACCACTCCTGGCAGAATGGCCTACACCTGCCAGTGTCCTGCCATGAGGAACGTGTCCTGAGGTCCCTGTTTGTGCAGAACGTGCTATGAAGATGTCCACGTCCCTCTCCTCTGGAGAAATGCATCCCATCTCAATTTCACACTTGACCTTCACCTGCCTCTCCTGTGGGACTGAGGGTGGGGCGGTGGGCTGTGCTTCGTTATAGGGTACCCAGCAGCCTCGGCCACTAAGTGCCAACCAAAAAAAAAGTCACCAGACTTCAAATGACTCCGGAGGCGATTGCTTTAGGGAAATGGAAGCCAATAACACTTGAGGTCAGAAAGTGAGCTGCGGAGCATTGCCCCAGGGAAGCCCTGAGGCCCTAGCGTCACACTGCTGCTTTTCTTTATGGGCTTTTAAAAGCTTTTCCAGGCATAGCCTACAAGTAATTTATCCTAAAAGCAATAAATGAGTTTGTTTGGGGGTGGGGGAGTGTGAATCCCCTCTCTAATAGTTTGCCTACATATTTACATGTGTGGAGGATAAGGACATGATTTGTAAAAGGCCCTGTGATTGGTCCATTACCTTATAGTTTCAAAAGTGTCACCTCCCCCGAGAGCTCTGTGTGAACACCCAGGCGAAGGCACTATTCCCTCCCACTCTTCCATTCTGCTTCTCTGGCCTCTTCCAGACTCCCCCCTTTATCACACTGTTCGGTCTCAAACCTGGAACAAACTGTTGAGATGCCTAGTAACATATCAAAGTGGACTCTGGCTGCCAGGTTCTCCCAGCATCTCTCAGTCCCTACTTGATACAGAGTCCTCCTGGCTGGCATGCCTGCCCCTACCCCCAACTTCTCCATCCAGGGACTGGGCTGGCTTTCCAGTCCCCAGCTTCTCTGATTCCTATGTAACCCAGCCATCTTGGTTACAGACCCTTTGCCTCTTGGTCTCCTGGCTCTCGCTACCCCTTCTCCTCACATGACCCTGAGCCAGGTCATGTTTACTCTGGACTCTTCCAGATGTCTCTGCCTCTGGCTATGCTCTCCAGTATATCTACAATAAACCTTCTCCTCCACCATACCTAGGAGCAGTCATGGCCTCCTTTTATTTTTTATTTTTTTCATTTGTATTGTTTTCAATGGGGTGGGGAGCATTGCAACTGAAATGTGTCACCAGAAGGGAGGAGCCCTTTTTCCCTGCTGGCTGGCCAGTCAGTAACTCCTCCTGGGTGTGGTGGTGGCATCGTGGTCAGGCAGAGGCAGGAGGATTGCTGAGTTTGCAGCTAGCATGGTCTACATTTTCAGTTCCAGGCCAGTTGGAGCTACATAGTGAGACCCTCTCTCAAAGGAAAAAAAAAGTCTTCCTGCCAACGACCCCCAGATGATAGTTAATGTTTTGTTTGTTTTCTGGCTTATTGATCTGTCTTCTTCCACCAGTGATAACTCATGGGGAAGGGGTCATTGGTTCTCACTGCTGTCTAGAGCAGGGTCTGATGGGAGATGCTACTGAATGATGTGGCAAATGCTGTGGAACAATCCTTTCTACACTATGAATGTGTATTACTCTTCATTGGTTAACAAAAAGCTGGCAGGCCAGTAGCTGGGCAGGAAGTTAGGTGGGAAAGCCAAACTGAGAATGATGGGAAGGAGGGGGAGGAGTCAGAGGAGTTGCCAGCCGAAGTCAGACACACAAAATTTGCTAGAAGTAAAGGCCATGAGCCTTGGAGCAGTACATGGATTAATAGAAATGGGTTAAATTGTAAGAGCTAGTTAGTAACGAACCTGAAGTATTGGCTGAGCATTTATAATTAATGTAAGCCTCTGTGTGGTAATTTGGGAAGTGGCTGCGGGGTATTTGGGAACAGGCAGTTGGGACAGAAGACATCAGTGTACAGGTAAATGAATGAATGAAATGTTCCTCCTTGCTTTCTGTCGCTGTCTATTGCTGTGAAGAGACACCATGACCACGGTGACTCTTATGAAAGAAGGTGTTTAATTGTCTTGCTTACAGTTTCAGGGGTCAGTGGTTTTCAATTGGAGCCTCGGGCTCACCCCTGCGCAGTCCGGAAAGCCCCACTCCTGTCTCTTTCTGTCTCCAAACCCTGCCTGCTCAGAGTCTCAGAACAAAGGAAAGGCACCAACAGCCCAGTTCCTCGTTCTTGGCGGCTACTGCACCTCCTCCCTGATGTGGCCGCTCGAGTCCCCGCCTAAGCACTCAGCTTTATTTTTTTTTAATTTTTTTTATTTTTTTGGTTTTTCGAGACAGGGTTTCTCTGTGTAGTTTTTGGTGCCTGTCCTGGAACTAGCTCTGTAGACCAGGCTGGCCTTGAACTCACAGAGATCCGCCTGACTCTGCCTCTTGAGTGCTGGGATTAAAGGTATGCGCCACCACCGCCCTACTTAGCACTCAGCTTTTGATCATACTTGGGCACAAACCCAGCTTGTGGTGGACACATCATCACCCATTGCCTACAATCTATGTAACCTCCCTGCCTTAGGTTAGGCGCACGACTTAGCTTAGGCGCACGACTTCTCTGGCCTTCTCCTCTGAGACCAGTGAACCCACCTGGGAGTTGCTTTGTGCTCAATAAACCTGCTGTTAAACTTTTTCAATTTGGCTTGATCTGGCTCCCTGTGTTGGCGGAGAAACTTATTATGGGGGGCAGAACATCTTTGTGCTGTACTGCAGTGTTGAGGGGCCGGGGTATGCAGCAGCCGGCAGTCTCGGGCCTGGCTTATAGCAGTGACGTCTTGACAGGCTATAGAGGGGCCTTTGGTCCCCTTGCTTGCTATGACTTTAATAACTCCCCAGCCACCCTGGGTAAACATACAGCCGCAGAAAGCATGTTTTTGGGTGGCCTCTAGACAAACCTGTGTTCCCTAACTTTGATCGAATGACCCAAGACCCTTCTGGAGACTCACTATTCTCTCAGCCTGCCTTACAGACAGGAAACAGATTCTGAGAGGCAAAGGAACACAGTGTGGCTTAGTGGGAAATGGCAACCACAGGCTCACCAAGCCAGTGGCACTTAGTATTCTCCTACAGCTAGGAGGACTCCACGTTCCTCACGTGAGGATGACTATCAGCTGTCAACTTGACAGGCTGGAGCATCGCCATGGAAACATGGTTGTGCGAAAGCTTGTAGATTAGGTTAATTGAGGAAGGAAGACTCACCCTGTGTGTGAGCTGCACTATCGTAGGCTGAGGCCCAGTACAGAATACAAAGGAGAAAGTGAGCTGAGCAGCAGTGTTCATCTCTCTCCTGACTGTGGAGACTGTGACCAGCCACCTCAAGCCTGTGCCGCCATGCCCTCCTTGACCGAGGGCACCCTCAGACTGGGCAAACACAGATCCTTAAACTGATTGTATTAGGCACTTTGTCCAAGCAACAAGGCA